CCATTATCAACAATTCGGAACCTTAAAAACCGCATAAAAAACATGACAATAAAAATGTGATTATTTTTGAATTTTTGTCATTTTTTATATCAATTCAATTTGACTTACTATATTAAAATGTATATTTAAAATTAATTCTCATTGAAAGAGTGTAGAAAATCAAATTAGTGGACAATATCAAGGTATTTGTGACTTTGCTCCCACTTCTGTCAGAATGTGGACATACTATTTTTGTATGGCAAACATCCGCAGAATCTGAAACCAAAATGTTAAATTACGGTTGGAAATTGTGACCAAAAAACTGAAGTAACAAATAATAGGTGGTGCTGCTATGAGGGAACCATATAAAACAAAAATGAATGACAAAATAATATAACCTATTTTATGGTAGTGGGTAAAAAAGAGGAATTAAGTTTGTCTGTCCTTAAATCTTTATGACATCAACCATAAGATGGACTTTCGTCTAGGCAGATTTCCCCTCTCAAAGTGGACAATCTTCAAATGTCTTTACTTCCCTATCCTTCATGCGTTCGTTATTGTCTTGTCTAAGCCTTTCTTTTAATAATCTTCCGTATTTTATCCAATTAGTTTTAGTTTTTATTACTTATTGTGGTTGGCAGCGCTATGTTAAACACAATAAATCTGTGGTCAGAGAACAAGTACACTAGGGACCGACTTGCGTCGTTTTAGCAGAAAATCCGAGCGCAATGAAAAGTATTAACAAAAAATATCTCCAGGCACACTGCCGTTCTAATGCTGAATGACCCCAACCTTGTTTAGAGATTGGTTAGAAACTTGCCCTTGCCCAGATTGGACATTGAGAAGTTTAAGTTTCGTATTTATTCATTAGTTTCGTTCATACAATCATGTGATAGAATATATTTCCTCAATCTTTAGCATCGACCATATTTGAGCAAATGTGGCTGCGATGACATAACTGTAGGGAAAAACTTATATTAATTTGTCCTGTATGTCTTGTGGAAACATAGATTGGATGTTGCGTCTTGGCATATAATTTGTTCTAGTAACGGCTCCATTAATAATTCGCAAGAGTTCCTGCGTTTTCATGAAAATTTTGGAGTTTATCTTGTATCTGTATTTTCTGTATTTCCAGACTGAACGAATCCAATTTGGGTCCCTTCAAGTTTAGTACAGATTTTTTTCTCTATCTGAAATGCGGTAAGATCCTTCATACCGGCAGATTCATTCATCATGTTATTTTCATCCTTTAATCTATTCAATACTTCTTCATAGCGTTGGAAGTGGCTGTTGTGGATTAATTTGAAATGTCCCTAGATATCCCAGCCAGAGTAGTCCCGAATTGTTAAATATCTTAAATACAACATATCCTTGTACAGCCACACAAAGGCACAACATAATTTTAATTTATGAGACAAAAACATTGAGCCAAAAGATTAACGAATAATTGTTCTATTGAAATTTGGAACAGAATTTAAAGCCACTAGAATAAGTTAATATTCAATTTATTTTTTTCTTTACTTTGGACAGTTTTATCATTACAATATTTTAATTACTGAATATTTTACGTTTTTGACTGTAACAAAGTTGTAAACGTATGAAATGTATTTAACGTCTGGAAATGTTGTGTTATAATCATAATTTTTGCTCAATTTCCCAAGATTTTGCTGTTAGATAGATTCAGTAAGTTTTTACTTTGTTTAAAAATACTTTTTTTCAAAATAATACTGTTAGTACCAACAACCTATGATACTATATAAGATTAAGTTATATAATATGATCATATATAGACTATTATTAGACTTTTATAAAATCAAGGTTTTGAGATTTTGAAGTTATTAAATAAAAGAGTTATATTTAATTAGATGAACCAAAAATAGACAAAATACTTAGCATGCCATCTACAAAAAGTCTCGTATATTGCTTGATTTTTGTTTTATTGCATTTGTGGATATTAATAAATTGAATTGACAGATGTCAAGCAAGAATTGCGTACAAAACAAACAAGTTTGAGCGCGAGATAAAACTATTTTTCAACAATTGGAAAAATAATATAAGTTTTTTAAAAATGTTAAAAAGTCCAACAAGTGCACATCAGCCAGAGGGGTTTGGTCAGAGTTCTGGTGCAACCGGATAAAGAAAAATAAGTGAACGAGGAAAAACCACTGCCCAGTGCAAAAGGTGCAAGCAATTAATTTGCAACACGGCTATTAACAGGATGAAGTCACTTCGAAAAGTACTCAATATTAATAAACTATAAGATTATTTATAAATGTGTTTTTTTGATTTCCAGGAAAAAATGCAATATTGAACAGATTGACGAAGGCAACGAAAGTGATTTACTTGAATCCCAACAAAATGTAAGCATGCACTCTTTTTCAATTTAAATGTACTAAAAGGTAATGAAAAGTAATGTTATACACACAGACTTCAAATACTCGCACTACCATTAAAGATTTCTTTCATAAAATCAACTAGGAAGATAAAGACCAACTCGACATTCGTACTGCCAGGTTTTTTCGTACCTGTCGTTGCGTAATCAATTTTTCAAAGATTTTTGCAAAACAATGAAACCATCATACAAACCAATAAGCAGAAAAATGATAATTGAATCACTATTGGATGTTGTACATAAGGAGCAGATCGATTTGAATGCCAAATTTTTGAAAGAAGGTACATATTCCGTGCTTCCCATTGACGGATGGAAAAATTCAACATCAAACACAACAAATGTAGCAGCATTATTGCACATCTATGACCACAGAATTTTTTGGAATCTTATGACTTTTCATACATGGGGGGAAACTTCAGAAAATCTCTCTGAAATTGTGAAGAAAGCTGCAAGTTTAGCCAAAGATCGATACAAAGTTCAAGTTTTCGCTGTAGTAAGAGATAATGCTGCCAATATGGTATCCATGGGCCGGAATGTTAGACTGATTCATACAACGTGTAATGCCCACTTTGGCAATTTGCTATCCAAAGATATAATCAAGATTTTTGGTATTCGTCTCGAGTTTAATTACCTTTGTGCGACTGGGAATAGTCAGAAGTATTCGGTATGTTAGAGGAGGAAGTTACTGAAAACTCCTCAATACTTGCAGTAGTACATAAAATCCTTAATGAATTTAAAAAAGTAAATCTTGAAAGAAAGTTGTCATTGCTTGGAGGTACCAAAGCGACGTAACCATGTTCAACAAGATGGTGCAGTGAACGTATTGCACTTTTTTGGTTGATAAATAAAATTTCCAAAATGAAGCACATTCGTGCAGAAACTAAAACTCATGGAAAACCTTTAGTCAAATCCCATGTAAGTGAGCTGCTCTATAAGGAGGATTTTATTAGATCCGTTATACTTATAAAAAACTATCAAAAGTCTGAATATTCTATATCGAATCCAACAGAAGAATGGATAAAATTGCTAACGGCAGCAACACCAGAATTATATGAAGTGGCTACAGAAAGATGTAGAATGAGTAATGTCTTTAATAAATATAACCTCGCAGGAAATGTTTTGCATCCGCTATCTAAGGGTGAAAGGCTGGAGCCAGAGCAAAAGCAAAAAGTTGAAGACTTTTTACTAGAAAATCTTGATGAAGATGGTTTGCAGTCATATTCAAAATACAAAAATGCAGGATTTTTTGCCTTACTTTTGGAAAAAACGTCTAAATTTAGGCTATTCTCGGAATTAGCAAATCATTAGTGATATTTGCAAAAAAAAAACTAATGAATTATTTAAGTTTTTGAAATTAAAGAATAACGCGTTTTCGTTTCGTTTCTATTTTTGTCGAAAACCTAGCTTTATACGGTAGGTTTACGAAGTGAAATTAACAATTAACATACGTCGGGAACGTATGTCAGATACGTCATAATTTCTGACGGGCTATCTCTGCCATAGACGTTATATTAACATTGTCATTCCGTTTGTAACTCTTCAAAATACTCATTTCGGACCCAACAAAGCGCATATATTCTTGATCAGCATAAAATTCGAAGTCGATTTAGCGATGTCCCTCTTTCGATGTCCCGCTATCTTTCGACCGAATATTGTCAGTAGGCAGTTTAAGTTCGAAATCGGTACTACAGCCAATGACAAAAAATTACTTATGCAGGTTCTCTGGGGGCTGTAGCCTATATAATGGTATTCGTTTCATTAATTTCCGCGAATTTTTTTATAAGGCCGAAGTAATGTTCTTTTTTAATTATTTTTTATAAATATTTATTTTTTTATTTTTTCTCTTTATTTTTTGTGGGTAATATTTTATAGTTTTGAGCCATTGTTTGGTGTTTCTTTTTTAAAAAGTTAAGTTATAGCCTACTCATGGTATAAGTAGGTGGAGTTGAACCACTTCGAAAACCACCTGTCAAACCACCCAGTTAACTGGAATTGATCCATACAAATATTGAACAATTTGCGCCCGAAGCATCTGGGCTAGATATCTATGCACGAGCCATCTTACGTCTTAACCATAAACGCTTCCTTTAAAACATTTTTAATTTCCTTTTCCAGTTTCCTTTTTATCTAAAGGTTTTTCTTTGCTTTCAAATTATTTTTTAAAAAAGGAACAATTCACCTCCATTGGTGAAATTATTCAATTTTTTATACCTTTTTGATTAAGGCAATGCATTTTCCCTTTCTTTTATCTTTAATCATTTTGAGGTCACTAAATTTACTCCAAAGTATTGTATCCTTTTAATATTTTAAACAGCATTTAATCACTAAAGCCACTCAAAGTTTTTTTCATTAAATTTACTCCAAAAATTTTAATCGCTTTTTACAAGTTAAAATTCTCAATTACAATTCACTCAAAAAATAAAACCTCCAAACTATGACGGCAAGGAAACTAAAGGATTTTAAAGTTTAAGCTTAATTATAAACATATTTTGAAAATTATTACGTTGTATTCGTTTAATAAAGTTATATGTCTTCGACATTACACAACTTTTGGAAAGTTGAAACCCTAAAAAAGTCCTAACGGGCATCTCTGTCTACAATAGTTACTATTGCAAACAGTAGTACTCACCGCAACACGCCTTTTCATAAATCGAAAGTATAACTCAACTCTAGAGTGCATTATTGTAATTTCAACAATTGTGGCATCTATGTCCTTTGGACTTAGCTTCTCAATTGCTCCTCCAGAATTCATACGATAGTGGCCAAGATTTGAAGTCGCCGAACATGAATTGGAATTACGGGAAAAAATCTCATTAACCAGTTTTTTCCTCCGATCGATTTGACGATTTTTTACAAACTCGTTTATTAAGTTTTTTACATCGACGTCGCATTGCCGCTGTAAAATCGTTAACATATCCAATAAGTATCCATGACCATAGTATGCTTCAACGATTGGTTGGTTGACTTCAATAACACGTGCTGAGTTTTCAAGCAAAGATGTCATTGCATCAGCGTAAGCTAAATGAACTCTTTTATCTGCTTTCGCGATATCCATTGCATTACGAAGTTCCTTTTGATTTTTCGCAGCCAATTTAGTGCAAATGTACTTCGAGAATTTTTCAATCCCTTCCATGTGATGACCCAATAATGGAAATATTTTAAAAAATCTTTCAACAGATGCCAAATCATCTTTTTTCACGGCTTCCTCAAATCGGCGAACAGTTATTTCTCGCATTTCAATTGCTCCCGATTCTAAGATTCGTACGGATTCTGTAATAGAACTTTCTGATCCTTGAACATCATCTGCCGTTCGCTTCAATAGTTGTAAATCCATAGCCAAAAAACGATTGATGTGGCCAGCAGCAACTTCGTAATCTTCTTCGACTATTGCTGTTGTGACGCCTTGTCCACATAACTGCAAATCTATTAAGTCATGTACACGTTGCTGACTGTCAGAAGCACGACTACGAGCTAAGTCTAACCGCCGCACTTTTGCGCTTACTGACGTGACTAAGTTAGCAGTATGAGCTATTTGGCAGTCAAGCTTTTTGGTATCATTTATAATGCGGTTCATCCTGGCAATACCTTTGTTAATTCCCGCCATATACGCTTCAATTTTACATTGCTTTGCCAGAAGATCATTAAGGTTGTGATTGAGATTTTCCTAAATAAAATGTATAAATATAAAAATATGAAATTTATTATTCAAGAACATTATTTTCGACGAAATAACATGTTTATGAAAGAGACATCACAAATCAAATAATTTGAAAATAAAAGTGTTTTACTGTTGCCTGATGTCCATGTAGTAATATTTTCTGGTAGCAATAACTTCTGATACACTTGCTGTCATCAATCTTTGAAAAAATGTTTTTAAGTCTCACATATATATCAGTAATTAGTATTTTATGATGGACGCTAAGTCTTAAAATAGAGCCTCGTGTCATTATTATTTAGTTATTATTTGAAAAAACTTCAATTTTGTAATCTTACAAATAACAAGGTAATGTCATCATTAGGACTACGAAGTAAGAATTGAGCATTTTTGCTCGAGCGGAAAACAAGTACTCTCCTGTATTAATATTTGTATACCCTGCACCATAGTATAGAGGGTATATTCAGTTTGTCATTCCGTTTGTAAAGCCTTCATAAAATTCTATGTCAATTTAGCGATGTCCATCCGTCGCACAGAGGGGTGAAATCGCACAGAGGGGGGATTAATTAAAAAATAAAATTCGTCTCTTGGAATAGATGTTTTTAAACTATATGGAACACTAAAATCTACATCAGTATCGAAAATTGTATACCTTGTTTAGTTTTCTAATTACACAGTGGCAAAGTTAAGAAATATTTCCGTTTTTCGCAAGAAGAAGGAAAAAATTATCCTTGGTCTTTTGAAGTTTTTTTCTCATCAAAAGTGATCATATTAAAATTGAAACATCGAATACAGGTTGTTATCAGTGTTTTTGAATGAAAAAGTTTTAAAAGTAAAGATGTCAAAATATTTTAAAAATTATTTTAATTCTTTATTAAATAAGTCTCTCTTGCGTTTTTATCCTGTTATTAACTGGAATTCTAAACTATATATAAAAATATTCCAGTCTCTTTAAAAAATAATTGGTGAGGTTACTTGCCTCACTCTCAATGGTGACTGATGATCCAATTGAAGGCAATGAGAGAGATTTAAGGAAGGATGATTTTTTAAATGTCAGTCACATATTTTTTTTTTTAAATATATTAATAAGGTTTTAGTCTATTTCAGATAGGAAGGCTTAATTGCCGGTCAATTTTGTATACCTATTTTTTATAATTATTCTTTTTTCATAAAAATATGTAGTATTTTTGTCTTCAGATTTTAGAAGGTTTTACAAAGGATAAATTATTTTTTCTGGCTTTACACAAATTTTGAATTTATATAGGCAATTTTTTTTTCATCCATCCATTGGGAAACAAAATACCAAATAATAAGTTTGTAAAAAACTCTGACTGAAACCCTCAAAATACCGAATATTAGGAAGAATATTTTGCAGGGAGAAATTTTCAAAATACCTAAAATTTGGAATTGCCGTTATATATGGTTAATACAGATAGTGGATTTATCTTCACAAAATTTAGCAGGAAGTGATTTGCCCGCTCAGAACTCTAAATGTCAAGATACTCATGATTGGGTTTGAAATTGTGGCCGAAACCTTCAAAATACCAAAATCAGGAAGTAACGCTATATGTGGGCCTTACCGAAACGTGAACCGTTACGTCCCATTTTTAATGCCAAATATACTACAGGTAATATTAATGTCTGAGCAAAATTTCAGAGCGATAGAATGCTTCCCGGATTAATCTCCGTTTTTGGGAATCTCTCCCCACTGTACGTCGGTGGACATCACTGTAGCTTCCGAATGGAATGAAGTGGGTGGACAAAAATTTTATTCAAATGTATGTAGGTCCACGTTTGTAGGTGCACGTTTTGCTATAGCATCCACATAACTGTACCGTCAGATTAATGTGTTTTGATATAAATGGTACATTGAGTTCCCAGTATGTAGTAAACGTTCTTGCAGAGGACTGTATCGATTTTCGGTGTTTTGCCGACATAAGTCACATTTTTAAACGAAATTATTTCAAATGTTGACATCGCCCATTCCGGCATATAATTAGCAATACAAATAAACGTTGCCCTATATCCTTCATATTATTATACCACTCAATATTCCGCATTTTAATAATTTTAGTGAAATTTATTTTATTTTGGATATTTTTTCTTAAAATTCGTTTCAAATAGGGGAAGGTATTAAAAGTAAGTTGCTTTTTTACTTGTTATTCCCAAACTTTTTATAACCTCCACACCATGAGGTCAAGAAAACATTTGAAAATCAATGCATCGGGACTCAATCTTTGAATGAATTTCATAACCTTCAAATGCAAGAAAATCGGTAGGTGAATGCAATTAAAGCCTTAAAAACACTATGTACTGCCATTGCCACAGGAGGTAGCAGTTACATAGAATAGCGAATATTAATCAAATTCAATCGAAAATCTGATTAAAATCTATAAAATAGCGAATATCCGAAGCTACCGTGTTATGGAGGTTAAAGATAAACGTGGACCCATGTTGACTATGTTATTCCACATGAGTTAGAGGCTATTACAAACTATAAATACAAATTTTTAAAAAATTCGATTGAAAATTATGGCTAATATCATCAGAATATAGGATGTCGGGATGTTCCTCTATATTGTGCCTACAGGAAAACAAAGACATTTTTAAACAATGTTATGCTCCCACAAGTTGTAAATACGAATGTTAACAAAAATGTGGTTAAAACCTCAATATATGAAATATCGGGAGGTATCTTTACATGACGGCTATATTAAACTATTCAGTAAGGACCCGAAGCATCAACTACTGACGATTTGGTTGGAAATTATGATCACCACTTATAAAATTACGAATATTGTTCGTTATATGTAGGCTATACCTAAACGATGTAGATGTAACGCATTTTCTATACCAAACACTTTTGGAGCCTGTGACAATTTTTTTTCGTTTTGCGACCTCCATTTTTTATATACTAGCTGACCCGGTCTGCGTTGTACTCTTCACCTAGGAAACGAGGGTATATTAAATTTGTCCTTTTCGTTTGTAACACCTCTAAAGGTTCGTCGTCGACCCTTAACAGTTTATATAATTATGATTATAATTATAATCGCCTTTATACGTCGATTTAAAGATGTCTTCTGTCTGTCTATATGTCTGTCCGTTTGCCTGTCTGCTGAAATCACGATGCAGTCTACATTTTTCGATATAGAACTTTGAAATTTGGCACAACAGTTTGTATTGTTTCTAGGATGGTTGGTATTGAAAATTATTGAAATGAAATATCGGTTTTCTATAGTACACCCCGAAATTCAGTATTTTGTAACACATTTTCCTATAGCGCCTATATTAGTCATTTTAGCTACATTTTCTTGACTATTTTTTTTTTTTTTTTGTATTTAGTATTCACAGTTTATTATGGGGCTAACCTTCTGTGGCATATAATTGTCTATATAGGTCCAGATTTTTCCATAGCTCTCATATAAACGTGCCGCCTATACCTTATATTCGCAGTTCTACGGTTTCAAATTCACTATACAAACCAATCGCAAACTCCTACAGATTATACGGCGAATCGTTTACAACACTTATATTACTATCTTTCATTAAAAACTTCGAAATCAAATACAATAATGTTTTATAAATTAGTCAAACGAAAAATCACCAGATGACTTCATAGTGGCTTCAATATCCTTCGAAGAACACATACAAAACGGGGTAAATAAAACTAAGTCAGTTCTACTAGTATCATTTAAAATGATCGTCGATGCAACAACTAAGTCGCAGATTTACGAACGGCTACAAAATACATACCAACAGGATGCCAGAAAGCAATAAAACCGTTAACCCTCAATTATTCAAGTGTACAACCGTAAAGAAAATCTTTCAACAATCCATGGTTGTATACTTTTCAAAAATCATCTTTGCCTAATCCATTAACTAACTAGTTCAAAAAAGATAAATATAATCTTCTTGTCATCGACTCATATTCAAAATAAAAAATAAGAATATCAAGAACAACCACGACACTCTAATCTACGTCGAATATAGAAAAATTCTAGTACGAGCTAATACTGGACTCTTTTGAAGATCAAAACAGTCAATAACAATTAAATCTACCATTGGACTACTTGATGAATTCGAAATCGCTATACCAACACAACAAGAACACTGCAACTTATAAATTAGTAGCTGTGAGCGCTCATCATTCGATAAATCCTTATACCTTTAATAGTATCATTGCCTTTTATTCAACAAACGATGAAAGCACAATAAAAATTACTGTCAAAAAATTTAAAAAATGTTTACCCAAAAAGATTGAGAAAAATATCGTAGATGTATTGTTCATAAAATTGAATTATCTCAGAATGATGCAGTATCTTTTCAGCCTTTTTCATGTTTCAACAACATCTAAGTTGCATTTATGGCAATGAATTTTCATTATGAACAGATATAACTCTAAAACTTAAGAATACGATGAAAATACTTGTTTATTTTAACAACAACAACAATATTTGGGGAAATATATCAAATGCAGCTCAGAAATACCTTTGCTAAATTTTATCGAGATCGGTTCAAATTTGGATATAGCTCCCATATATAACTTTGTCCGATTTAACTTTTATTGTGCACCAAATGTCTAATTTTTGCCCAAATAGGATGGAATTTGGCACACACGACCGAATTGAGTCTAGAAGCTAGTATGCCAAATTTGGTGAAGATCGGTTCAGATATAGCTATAGCTCCCATCTATATTGTTCATCCGATTTGTTGTATTTGTTACCCACAGCCATTATATGCACTATGTAACAACGATATTCAGGAAGATATGTCAAATACAGCTCAGAAATATCTTTGCCAAATTTTATTGAGATCGGTTCAGATTTGGATATAGCTCCCATATATATCTTTGTATGATTTCAAAGTAATTTGCCCCAAATGGGCAATAAAAGTCCGAATTTAAAAGATACAAGTGCTTCGGCACATTTAGTCCTTTGAACTTTAAATGATAATTATAATAGTGGCGCGTATGATTGAATTCTCCCATAAAAACTTTTAATTGTTATGTG